CGCTCCTGACACATACCACCACTGGGGAGGGTGGACCTGTCCCCCGTGGTGTGGAGCCAGTGGCACTTACGCAGGGGAGGACACCATCAGACTGGGAATAAGAAAGACTGGAGCTCGGCAGGCGCTTGCTCTGTGCAGGCAGGCTCGGCCAGCTATGTGCAGGGTCTTATGAAACGCTCACAACGAAGCCGGTGTGGTTGGTATCCTGCATCTCAGTTCACCACTGCGGCCCTAACACAAACATCACAAGTGGATGACTTTAAAGAACAGAGATTTATCTCCTCACAGTTGTAGAGGATAAAGGTGCACCTCGGGGACTTTGTCGGCACCCAGGACGCCCCTTGGTTCCTGGCTGATCCTCGCCTGGCATCTGTCTTCCCCAGTGTGGGGACATCTGTGTCTAATCTGCCGCTTTTATAACCCGGAACTGATGGGGTTTAGGGCACACCCTGCACAGACAGGGTCTCGCTGACACAGCCTACGCCCTACCGCCGAACAGGACTACATCCGCAAGTGTAGGGTTAGTGTTCCAGCTCATATTTTGTGGGGACACAATTCAGTCCATACCGTTGCATTTTACAGACGAGGAACTGGAGACTTGGATGGGTGTTAACCAGCTTGCTCAGGGCTCAAAGCTACTCAGTGATGCTAAGGCATTTCTACTCCAGGTCTGCTGCCTCCGCAGACTTTCTGCCTTTATGCTTTTAGAACGGCCTCTCCGGCTGAGCATGGAACACACTGGAAGGGGGCCGAGTCGGGGGGCGGGGAGGGGCCGATGCCAGAACCAGAGGAGACAGTAGAGGCTCAGAGTAGGGGGGCGGGGGGGTGGCGCTGTGGGAAGGCAGAGGAGGGTGGGGGCCAACCCCTGCTGAACTCAGGGGAGGAGCGACCGGGGTTGCGGTGGGAGGATGTTTGCTTCCTCTCTCAGTTCTGATGCGGTTTGCGTGTTTCAGAGAACGCGGTCGACTCAATGGCGACTGGTTTCTTTTACTCAAGCCATTATCACTTACTTTAAAAAAAAAAAAAAAAGGGATAGAGGTCGTACCCCCGGGGAAGAAGGCAGAGCCAGGAGCTGTTGGACCCTAGAAGGTGTACGGGGTGGGGCAGGAGGGGAGGACTCTTGGAGGACGCGGGCTCGGGGCCACACGGGCAGGGCGAGCACAGTTCTTCCTTGAAGTGGAGCTTCCAGACCGGGAAGCTCTGGGCCACGACAGCAAATAAAAATACACGCTAAGGAGACCACCCGACGGGGACCCACTACCCAAAAACGGACCAGAGACCACGAACTAGGTTTTAGAGGAGCAGAATCTGGGTTTTTTTTTCTTCTTAAGAGTCAGCCGCTATTATTCCAATAGTAGATTTTAGCATTGACTTTTTCCCTCCTACAAACGAAGCTGTGAGACCCTTCGCTTAAGCATTTGAAACACAATCTCAACAGATGTCAGTGTTTTCATATATTTATTATTACTACGAACTGATACGAAACAGTGGCTCTATCTCTTAGCAACCGGGTGGCCGTGGGCGCTGACTTCGCTTCCTGCACCTCTCCTTCCCCCTCTGCAGAACGGGGTGATGACAGTGTGCCCATCCTACTGGGACAGATCAAACAGACCAGGCACTTACAACAGTGCCAGGCACAGAGCAAGCGCTCAGAAATCGCTAGGATTCTTCTTTTGGTTGTTGTTGCTATTGTTATTTGGGATGTCCTAGAGGGGCCGGGGGAGCATTGGGCGTAGGGGCTGAAACTCTCCCAGCCTCTCCTACCCCCAACTTCCACACAGGGTTCCCCATCCCCTCTCTGAGACTTTGGACAAGTTGCATCCCCTGTCTGAGCCTCAGCT